TCCCCCATGACTCTAGGCTCAGTAGCCTGTTAGAGCCAGCCCTGTAAATGCCTATGCCTTTCTTGAACCCCACTAAGCTCTCTGACGCAATATCTTGTGGCAGTTCCCTCTCCCCACCCTATTGTGTATCCCTACTCTTTGGATATTAAGAGCTCACTGGGAACTGCCTGGCCAGGAAGGGATGTTCGGTAATGAGTTGTGCCACTCTCTCCTTTTATGCTATGGGAACCTGAAGAGAGGAGCGCTGTTCTTTTCTTGGTCAATATGTGATACAGGTCAAGCAGGAATGACACTTACCTGGGGGTTCTTTTCTCTCGTATGAGTTGCTGCGTTTGTTTCCTTCACTCTTACCAGGAGGTGAGCACTTCCCCTTTGGTCCTTATTTGCTCCCTTTCCCACTACCAAAAGGGCAGGTTTGTTGAAGGAGAAGCAGCGACCTACACCCATGCAGAGGGGATTGTCTCCAACCCCACTCTAAAGCTCATCAAGAGCCATCTGGAGTTAACTGGTGGATAATTAGCAGTTCTGAGGAATAAGAGCCCTACAGAGCTGAGTCAGGCATGGCACAGGTCCCGGATAGCCTGCATGGACAGTGTAAGGGCCAGTCTACGCTAGGAAGTTAAGCCCAACAATAGTTGTGAGCTCTGGTCCCCTCGAACTGGTGCTTCAGACAACTAGTGCAGGCAGAACAAAGCCATATTCAGTGCCATTACCAAAAAGAACAGGAGTACTTGTGGCACCTTAGAGACTAACGAATTTATTTGAGCATAAGCTTTCATGGGCTACAGCCCACTTCATCGGATGCACAGAATGGAACATACAGTAAGAAGATATTTATACATACAGAGAACATGAAAAGGTGGAAGTACCCATACCAACTGTAAGAGGCTAATTAATTAAGAGAAACTATTATCAGCAGGGGAGAAAAACTTTTGAAGTGATAATCAAGATGGCCCATTTCTGACAGTTGACACAAAGGTGTGAGGATACTTTAACATGGGGAAATAGATTCAATTAGTGTAATGACCGAGCCACAAGTACTCCTGTTCTTTTTGCTGATACAGACTAACACGGCTGCTACTCTGAAAAGTGCCATTACCAGCATTCTTCTCGAGGACACTTTCCGCTACAGTGCTGAGAGTAGGTTTGGCTTGTTCACACAAGCAGTTACAGCTGGTTCCCGCCCTAATTCTTGGGTGATAACCCGGCTGTTACCTCAGCATTATCTACATGTGGGGTTTTCAGCAGATGATGCCCAGTGTTACTGACACTGGTACAACTCCACTGGAGGAAGCCATGGTGGGAGCCATGGTATAGATGAGGCTCCCTCAGTGACCAGTGTCTAACACCCTATCATCTGGGGGGCCCAGAGCAGGCCTGAATGTCAGTGTGAGACACGGGGGTGGATCAGGACTTTTGCTTAGAAAAATGACTTGAAAAATTCCAGTTCATTGATCACTGTACGGGATTATCGATGGAGAGATTGCAGTAGACTGTATTACCATCACAGTCTCTGATTAGCTGGCAGCTACCTCTTTTATAATGTCTACAAAAGACGTTCATCTGCTCTCTGCATTCTTGTGCCGCCGTGAACCCTTCTGAGCTACAATCTCATGGTGGGTAAGCATGGGCGGCGGTGGAGCCCCCCTTCGGAGAGGCTAGCCCCCAGCTCCGCCCCTTCCACCCATGGCTCCCCCTACGGCCAGAGCCCCGAGACCCCCTGACCTCCCCTCATGGCTGGAGCCACAAGCCCCCCCGCTCACCCGAAGGAGCCCCGAGCGCCCCTCCCCTCGGCCGGAGGAGCCCTGGGCCAACTCCTCTCCCCAGACCCCAACAAGTCCTGGGGAAAAGTGTCTCACACTCCTCCTGAAGAAGCTTTTGATATGCCCCATGCAGGTTCCGGGGCAGCTGAGGAGGCAGTATGTGCTACTCAGCTTCCTGGGTTCATCACTAATCTCTCTGGAGTCCAGGGAGATTATTGATGAACCTGGGAAGCTGAGTAGCAAATACCACCTCCTCAGCTGCCCCGAAACCTGCATGGGGCATAACAAAGCAAAAACATCCCCCGCCAAACCCCTCAACCAGGGGTCCATCAGCTTGAATTAAAGTATTATACCTGCCGCCCATGCATGTGAGGTCTCCAGACAGCCTTCGTGGAACCTAGCAGCACATCCCTTCTCTTCTGTATCCCATTTCTGATCAGAAAGGATAGCAAGTGCTTCAGCAGACTCCAAAGAGTTGCTCGCATGGGCTGTATCTAAGAAACATGATTACATCTCTTCATTAGCAAACCAGCACACATAAAACAATCTATGTCCAGAAGTTTGGTTTATTCTTGACATCTGAAAACAAACTCTTTCATTTACAGTCTACTGCAAATTAAAGGTAATTTGGCCAAAGCGAACACAGATTGTGTTTAATATAAAGGAGGTGAAATGTTTATGTTAGGATGATCTTCCAGGAACTGCTGGAGGAAGCCGTCTAAATAAAAGACAAAAAAAGAACCCCAAATTCATTTGGTTATGGGGGGTGGGGGAAAAGATTTAAAAAAAGGTTAAAATATATTAACATGGCACATACACAAACCTGCCAGAAGAAAGCTGGTTAAGATAAAAAGGTTCACAACATGCACCATGAGGGGGAAAGCCAGACTAAGAACTGCAATGTTAGCATTAGACCGAATTCTCAACCCAGCCTCCCCATCTATTGGCAGTATTTCATATCTACCCTACCGGCCCCGTGGAACTAGGCAAGTCCAGTTCTGAGTATGGAGATTGCTGCTTAGAGGTTTTCTGATTTTCTTGCAGTAAATAACATTTGCAGGAGGGGCTTCACTCCAGCCAGCCTTGGAGTTTGGGCCCTTAGCAGAGATGCAGTGCTAGCCCGACTGTCAAAGAGGTCAAGGATACAGTCCATTTCATCTCAGCGTAAAAGGCAGTTCTCAATGGGGGAAGCTTCAAGAACATCGTGTGGGGTTCTGATGGAACTAGAAGTGGTAAAACCACATGGGTTACCACCCTGGACACTAACTTAGAACATAAGAATGGCCACACAGGGTCAGACCAAAGGATGGACCTATCCTCCATGAATTTATCTAGTTCTTTTTTAAACCCTGTTATAGTCTTGGCCTTCACAACATCCTCTGGCAAAGTCCCACGGGTTGACTGTGCGTTGTGTGAAGAAATACTTCCTTTTGTTCATTTTAAACCTGCTATTAATTTCATTTGATGACCCCTAGTTCTTGTGGTATGAGGAATAAATAATACTTCCTTATTTACTTCCTCCACACCAGTCATGATTTTATAGACCTCAGTCATATCCCCCCTTAGTTGTCTCTTTTCCAAGGTTCCATACCCCTAATCATTTTTGTTGCCCTTTTTTGAACCTTTCCCAATTCCAATATGGCCTTTTTGAGATGGGGTGACCACATCTGCACGCAGTATTCAAGATGTGGGAATACCATGTATTTATATAGAGGCAATATGATATTTTCTGTCTTATCTATCCCGTTTTAATGATTCCCAACATTCTGTTCGCTTTTTTGACTGCTGCTGAACATTGAGTGGATGTTTTCAGAGAACTATCCACAGTGACTCCAAGATCTCTTTCTTGAGTGGTAACAGCTAATTTAGACCCCATCATTTTATATGTATAGTTGGGTTATGTTTTCCAATGCACATTGCTTTGCATTCTGGCGTGTACAATATTTGGGATGGGGTGTCCCTAAAAAAGTCACTCAAAGCTCTTTGGGTCGCAGCTGTGCATTCGGAGGAATCGCTGATAAATTTAATGGGGCTATAATGATGAAGATCGTTATCCTTCAATCACAGGGAAGCCCCTGTAATGGGGGAAGGCTAACGTTGGGTGAAGGAAGTATTATTAAACTACTGCCAAAGCTGATTAGAAATCATCAGCAATGTGCTGGATGTCTGCATGGCTTGCAGCACACTGGGGAGATGAGTTGCGCATCATAAGGAGAAGCTTGCAGTGCTTTCAGCATGTGCTGAAGTGAAGTCTCTGGGATCTGTAGTGTATTAAAGCTAGATAGGGCATGTGCGGGAGACAAGTTTCTATTGAGATGTTTGTGTGAATACAAAGACTGCCCGAGTCACAGCCATTAAGGCCAGTCAAGAAATATCCACAAGGGTTAAAGCAAAACTGCTGTAAATTCTGACAGGCATTTTTAATCTTCACTGCTGCAATCATCCAGCACCTATCGAAGTACAGCTGTGGGTGATGCCACCAGCTGAGCCAGTGACTCAGTAACTGAGCTCCTGATCGAAGGAGCTGTCATGCTTTTACTGTTTGTTTGGTTGTAGAGACCATTTCTTCTCTCAGCACTGAGTAGCTGGACGTTACTAACTTTGAGGGGGAACCTAGATATGTTCTGATGCATCTGAACATACCTACTCACTCCTTCAGGGTGAAATTCCCCCTGGGGCACAGAGCCAGCAGATGCACTATTCTAGTCCCACGCAAGCCTATGAGCACTCGTGCTGTCCCGCAGCTCAGCGATGAATTTCACTCAGAATGTCTAATTTTAGTGTCAGTTATTAATAGGGTGACCAGATGTCCTGATTTTATAGGGACAGTCCTGATTTTTGGGTCTTTTTCTTATATAGGCTCCTATTGCCCCCCACCTCCGTCCCGATTTTTCTCATTTGCTGTCTGGTCACCCTAGTTATTAAGCAAATGTGCCAGTGCTGCTTGAAAGCCATTCACCAAGTTTCTAACAGCACAATCCTGCTGTGCTCTTATTCCCCCAGAACTGTGGCAGACTCAGTTAATACTGGAATCTCCCTTTGGAATGCCAGAAGGTCAGCTCTTCAAAAGAAGACAAAACACACTGAAGGAATGTGGCATGATCATGTTGAAAGAGAGGCGAGGCTCTAGATCACATCCAGAAAGTAACAAACACCCAGCCAGTGTTTACCTTTATTTCAGGTTCAGAAATGCAGTGCGACATTTTTACAGCAGGCATAGGAGACCTTCGGTAATGACTGAGGATCCAGAGATCCAGTCACAGTGTGCAAAAGTCCATGCCAGTAATCATTTACATACCGCAAAACCAATGGCAGGTGTTGTGGCTCATATTAATGAGGCCATTAACATACAGAGCAACATTCAGAGAAAAAGTGAGCACTTGCTCCTCACAAAACGCCGCCGCTGTGTACATCATTCTGGAAAAGTAGAGAGGGATAAAACACAAACCGGGAACAAAACAAACAGCCGGCAACATGGAACAAATCACATATCAAGCAAGTGCGTTGGACTGTCTGGACGGGAGAAGCCATCTGTATCCACTCGCCTGGAGACAAAGCAAGAGGAAAGACAGGCAGAATGATATTCATTTACAAAAAGAAGCAGTTCTACTGTATTACATGCAGAGCACGGCATAGGGTGATCAAAGACAAAAGCAGGACATGAGCCTCATGTAAGACCAATGCAGAGGGTGAACCACCTCAGCAATACCATCAGTGCAAAACAGGTCTGCATTCAATTGAGTGGTCTTCAATTCTAAAGACAAATAGATCTATCTAATAATCTCTCTGTACTGTATGCACATAGTTTTAAATAGAGGCTTGCAATATAGAGTAGAATATTTTCTATGTTCTAGTATAACACAAGATGGCATTGTACAAAACAAACACGTCTCCCTTAATATAATAGAAGTCTCTTTTATAAGAGGCTTATTCAGAAAGTGCAATAAGACAGGCAATGAAGTAAATACGTATTTACTAGAGCTAAGCCTTCCTTTTCATTTCACAGACACTCCTTGTCTTAGGAAGGTGTAGTAGGATCCCTCAGGGTTACAAAACTGAGAGCTACTTATGACACAAGCAAGCACATTCCACCTCCTCAGCTGTAAGGTCAACCATGACTATGCAAGGCACAATACACTATCCATGCTGAGAGTTAGGCTTCGCCTAAACAAAATAATGGATGCGCACCAGCCTGAAGCCAAACTAGAAGTGGTCATCCAATCACATGGACACTGCTCAATAAGGAATGGAATGGAGATCACTGACGTGAGAAGTCTCTGATCCATCTCTCCACACACACACAGCCAGACAAACTCCCCCAGCCCTTCATTCCTTTTAAGTTAACTGCAGGAAGAGAATCATCCTCTACAGTCTTCTGAGCTTTTCTAGAGCCAGTCTAATGAAGGGACAACAGTCCCCCTGGCTGTGTGTCTGGGCTATGGGATCTCAGGCTTAGCACGCCATTGTAGAGGTGCCTTCAGTCTGCGGAGGGAAAGGTTACCTTTCTCAGACAGCCACTCCCCTACTGGCAGATCTAGGGAGAAGTACTGGTGAGCTGCCCAGCTGTCCTTCCAGTGCAGAGTGAGCTGCTGCCAGGGATGTTTCTGGTGAGAACATTGTGGGGGTAGGGTGAAACTAAACGGAATCAGGGTGAGTAGGAATGAAGAGTCCAGTTCCGCAGATTGCCATGCTGACAAACATGAACTATGATTATAAGATGAATCTGTATCAACTGGCGGTAGACTTTTTTGGTAAAGTATTTAGAATTGCTTTTTCCTGAGAAACGTAGTTTACTCTGAAAAATGCATAACTATCAACTTAAGGTAAAATTATCAGAGTATGTGGATTTGCACTTGAGGCTGATTAATGCCCACATATATAAATGCTGTGCTTCCTTCCAGAAGAGTTTTGTAGTGTTTATATTTTGAGATTACTGATGAAAGAATGCTCTTTATTTTGGGTCAGATTTAAGGTTGCTGCACTGTGATGAAATATGCATTTCTTAGTGACTGATTAAAAACGAGCCCAATTCTCACCTTTTGTAGCCATTCACTTCAGTGCCAACTGTGTGTCAGATGCTATCCCATTCTGATTTCTTTATACCCACTTTGCACTGAAGTAAATGGCTACAAAAATGCAGGGCAGTTGAGAATTAGGCCCAATATGTTATGGGCCCTGATTTATATCTCCATTATGCAGAATTTACTCTGCTGTAACTCCAGTGGAGTTACTCTAGATTTACAACAGCATACATGAACTCAGAATCAGGCAATGTGTGGGCAGTTTAAGATTTATCCACAACAAAAATTATTAATAACTTGGCTTAACTTCAGTCTATTTTCTTTAAAATGTCACTGTCTCAAGCAGATTTAACTAGATACTTTCTCCTGTGTTTTTTGAAAAAAAATTGCAATTTTTTTTGCCAAATTAGTTTCCAAAGTCAAAGTTAAAAGGGTGCTAAAATAGGGCTTTATAATAGAAGTTGGTTGCAAATTAAAACTTGGAAATAATAAATACAGAAGTTTTGCCTGTAAAGCATACACCTACTAGTATAGTGCCATATAAATACCTCTAATAATAATGTTACATATTAAATTAGAGAATACTGAAGAGCAGAGAACATAGAAACATCGTTGAAATGTAATTTTTTACTTTCCTGTAGTTCAAAACAGCACAACTGAATTTAGAAGGTGCAATTTCTTTTTACTTTAAAGATGATTTTATAAGTTTGTTGTTCAGTATTTTAGCATGTTCTTCAAATTAACATTGGCCATTTTAGCAATTCACTAAGATCACCAACGTGCCAAAGTCCATCTTTGCAGTGCTTAAAACACTGACCTCTAGACTCTACAGGTGCGTGTTCTGAGTATAAATTTGACAGGAAATTAATCTAATATACAAATAATGCTGCTTTCCCAAGTTAAACTCTCTTATGTAGCAGAAACACAATTTGCTTCAGTGGTGGACACAGCTATTATTTAATCAGCAGTCTGGGAATATTTAACAGGCAAAATTCCCACTGGTTGTGGTTCTGACAGGATCCCTCCCAACCCCTGAGATACTGTGTATTGTAGCACCACATACAGCTTCAATACATGAATTTCTTAGATTGATTCATTATAGTGATGGCCTTCATAACCACCAACTGCCTTCCCTTAGGAACTCTAACTGTAATAAAATAACAGCAAATACTTTCTGAAGACATCAGGCCAAATTAGTTTAATTCTGTCCACTTCATTTGTTCTACACCAGGGAGGGAAATTTTCTGATCTATTTAAAATGGCAAGTTAACTAGTTAAGATAAAGCTTTTTGTAAATAACAAACAATAGGACCCTTGAAAAGGAACAGCTGTTAAAATAACACATCGCCGGGATATATAGCTGATCACTTCTCACTTGTTTTAGTTGGATAAAGGGACTATCGTACCAAGCCACAGGGGATTTCAGTGAATGAAAATGCAAAATCTTCACACAGTGTAACTTTGTCTCAGGGTTTTAATAATGGTTGAAAAGAGAGATCAGCTTCAACCAAAATCCTCAATCCAAACAGCACTCACTACCAAGAAAGCTCAGATCCAAATTCAGATCTGAACTTTGTGACTTGGGTCAAAATATCATTCAAATAGTGGGTAAGGAATTGGTGGTTCAGTTAGACATTCACATATTAAATCTGTTCCAGTTTCTCACACTGAAGTGACAAATATACCACCCACTTAGTCCAGACTCTGATACCCTTACTCATGGTGTGTTATGTTTACACACATGCTCCCATCGAGTTCGGTGGGAATGCTCATGTGAGGAAATACTACCCAATGTGAGCAAGGGGGTTAGAATCTGGCTCTTACCAGTTACTAAAAAAGAAGACTGACTCCCCCCTTGGCCTGTAAAGAGGGACACAAAGAGTGGAGCTCATCACACCATATATGGCCTTATTTTCCTTAGCAACATTCTTCATAAACTAAAAACTTCTGATGTTGAGAAATTATAGTGAAAGTAACCATCCAGCAGGCTTGTGAAAGAGACATGAAGACATGTGTAATTATGGGGCGTGCAGGAGCTTTTAATTACAGACAACATTGTTTCTCTCAGCCCAGTTGGCATTTAAGGAAGGAAATGTGTATAACTATAATCCAAATTATAGAAAGCCTTTCTTTAAACAATTTGATGCGGAAACCTGGAAGCTACTTATAAAAACAAGATGTCCCTTTGAAATGGGAAAGAGGCAAACTCTATGCACTTGGTCAACACAAACACACAGTACAGCAAGCCCCCGTTTGAATGTATAGAACGGGAACACTCAAGTGCCCGCATTAATATATATGTCAATACACTAGCTAAGAAATCAGCTGTTTGCAAGAGGGAAAGTCTAGGCATCACAGACCTTTCCATGACATTTCAGACCCCATAAGCAATACAGAATGGACAGAGTATATTAGTAAAATTGGTTACTTGCCTACAGATGTCCATACATGCGACTATACATTGGTTATTGCAACAGTTATCAAGCGAGTTGCTTCCATACATTTGGTTAGCATTTAATGACATGCCAGAAACTTCACTTAATCTAACAGGGACGAGTCTAATGGACGAATTACAGTGGGCCGAGTGGGTGAAGGGGGTGGTCTTCGGCTAGAGAGAGAGAGAGAGAAAGAAAGAGAGAGAGGAAACAAGCAGAAACGCTGAGTATGAATCTGTAACCTTTTCACTGCTGTAAAATATTGCTATTGCTGCATAACATGCACATGCAGCTATATGTCGCATTTCTACTTCCAATTACAATGAAAAAGGACAGCCCATAAGCATTTGTAATAGGTAAGAAGGTAAAATGTTCACTGAACAGCTCCATGTGCAGTACAGATACTCCCTCTGGAATAGCCAACAGTTTGTTCTCTGTTTACAAGGTTCAGAGGTCGATTGGTAAGATGTCCCTCTCAGCTTAGAAAGGCACAGAATAGAATTAGAGCCAAATTTTCAAAAGTGGCTGTGGATTGCGATGCCCAATTTGAGGAAACTTGGGCCTGATTTCCAGAAAGTGTTGTGCACCTGAAGCTCCCATTTGCTTCAATTAGAGCTTAGAAGCAACTTTTGAAAATACTGGCCTTTGCAACTAACACTGGGATCATTAACTTGTTAGCTCCCAGTTCTCCTGCCGTAACGTGGCAAACACGGTGAGCTGGGAAAAGACTACTGAGTGGGTTCAATGCGACAGGGCTCAGTGAGGCCAAGACCTGTTCGCTTCTTGACTTAAGAAGTTGTGGTGGGAATCATAAGTAAGAGACGGTGTGTGAACACAGATACATATCAGTCTGGAGCCCAACTAGGAGAGCTCAAGTATAGTCCAGTCCTTCACTCCAGGGGACGTTTTCTTTTACTACTGTTGTGCTTAACTTTAATCACATTTAACCCCACTGAAGTGAATAAGCTACTCCCATGGAGTAACTGAAGCATGGGCGTAGGTCTACATGTTCATGATTGCCCTTATGAAATGAATGATTCTGCTTCAAAGAATCACTGGCATTTCCCCTAGTGGCTAGCTCACTCATAG